CAGGGAAAGAAACACTTTAGCCTTAAACCCAGAAGCTAAGAAACATGCCCTGACCCTGGAACCACTGCCAGAGAAACACTTTGTCCCTAGAATCAGAGCCAGTGAAAGAAATATGCCCTGGCCCTAAAATTAGAATCAAAAGGCTAAAAAGGGCAAGTGAAAAAACATAGTTTGGCCCTGACCAATGAAACTAACCAGTCTCCAAGCAGGAAAACTAACCAATCCATAAGCAGAAAACCTTCTCCCTGGAGAAACTCCGCCCCTAAGAAGGCTTACATAAGCTCCTCTGCCTGTTCAGGTGTGGGCTGTTCTTTCCCATCCTGGCAGAGGCAGCCACTCTCCTGGACTCCTCCTTCCCAAATAAATCTTTCCCAAAAGTCTTGGGTGAAGATCTTCATTTGCCAGAACAGAAGAACCTTGCTGTAACGTTCCTTAGGGAACTGAGTAGAAAAAACCTTGCTGAGATGTTCCCTTAGAGTAGAAAAAACCTTGCTGAGACATTGACTTAGCCGGGCTGAGCAACGCTGAGCAGAAAAAAGTAACTTCACTGGATCAGGAGGAGATTGCTACAGTTCTGCAGGGGTTTCCTGTAGCTAGAGTCTTCCTGCCTGGCCCACAGTCAGGATGAATCTCTCTCACCTGCCAGTCCCACAGCCGCTCAGACCCGACCAAGTAAACACAGAGACTTATATTGGTTACAAACTGTATGGCCATGGCAGGCTTCTTGCTAACTGTTCTTACAGCTTAAATTAATCCATTTCCATTAATCTATACCTTGCCACATGGCTCGTGGCTTACCGGCATCTTCACATGCTGTTTGTCATCATGGCAGCTGGCAGTGTCTCTCTGCCTCAGCCTTCCACTTCCCAGCTTTATTCTCCTCCTTGTCCCGCCTACACTTCCTGCCTAGCCAATGGCCAATCAGTGTTTTATTTATTGACTAATCAGCAACACATTTGCCATACAGAACATCCCACAGCACTTCCCCCTTTTTTTTCAAAAGGAAGGTTTTAACCTTAACAAAGTAAAATTACATATAATTTGGGAATTTGGGCGTAGCTTCTCTTACTACTTCCTGCTGGAGGAGGGCGCTGTATCTTATGGGGACACAAAGAAAATTTTAGGATCATGGAGTAGTCCGTGAGGCTGTATTGTCTGAGTCAGATGCCTTCAAACCATTTTGGATGTTGGATCATCTGGGCCATGGTGTCATCGGAGACCTTTCAGGGGGTCTTGGCTGGTCAAACCTGATATATCTTAATCTGGAACAAATCCATAACCTCTGGCTTTCTGTGGGAACAAAAGAGATTCTTTTCCAAAGCAACATATCCTTATATCCAAATTTTGAAGTCAAGGTATCTTTAAAGTATACATATTGGTTTAACTCAGCTTCCTTTACAATCAAATATCTCTCTGCAGTTAAGAATCCCAAAGACAACACAATCCAGATTCTCTGTGTAATATTCATCTTTACATGGCTTATTTTCTATATTAATTTTACTGTCTCTTTAAAGACTTTATTTTTTAAAACTATGTATTTGTTTATATGACTGTATATATCACCATATATCACCTTTTTTGTCTCTTTCAAGCCTACGTATATTTTACACACATTGTAAACTATTACATCTGAATCTGTCTTATTGTGAAATCTATTGCTTTAAACTGCAGCAGCTGTGACTGCTGGCTCCGCCCACCTCAGCTTCCCAACATGGCGACGGCACATCCACCGCCAGCTCTGGGAGCCATTGTGGGTCTATGCCTTTATCCAAGCAGCGTGCAGCCCAGAAACCTCTTTTTTTGTTTTGTGCTAGCAAAGACTAAATCCACCACGCAGCTTAAAGTGCCACTTGCAGAGGCCTCATTCCCGCCATTCTGCAGGTCGAGCATGCACGCCAGGAATCCACAAGTAGCTCAAACCGGCAGCTGCCGCTCATTTGAGAGAGACAATTAGGAACTGTTTTTAGCTCCGTTTCAGAATCTTTTTTCTCAGTTTTTAGGTGGAAACTCTTGCCACCACATTGGACGCCATTTGTAGCTAGAGTTTTCCTGCCTGGCCCACAGTCAGGATGAATCTCTCTCACCTGCCAGTCCCACAGCCGCTCAGACCCAACCAAGTAAACACAGAGACTTATATTGGTTACAAACTGTATGGCCATGGCAGGCTTCTTGCTAACTGTTCTTACAGCTTAAATTAATCCATTTCTATAAATCTATACCTTGCCACATGACTCGTGGCTTACCGGCATCTTCACATGCTGTTTGTCATCGTGGCGGCTGGCAGTGTCTCTCTGCCTCAGCCTTCCACTTCCCAGCTTTATTCTCCTCCTTGTCCTGCCTACAGTTTCCCCTTTAGCAGAGTGAAGCAGAAGGAGCAACATCTTGAGCCGGAGAGAAGCTGAGCTCTGCTGGGAAGCCCCTTAAGGGGGTGGGGTGGAGCAAAGTTCAGCTGTAATGGCTCAAAAAGACGAGCAGGATTGCTATATCTTGCGGGAGACCATCTCTCACCGCACCCCAGCTTCAGGTATAGCCTGGCTTTCCAACAAGTCAGGATACCTTTCCCTCCAGGGCTGAGCTCCAGAACTGTCCTCTTTTATCTCTAGGTATAGCCTCACTTCAGATAAGTCAGGATATCTTTCCCTCCAGAGCTGTAACACTCACAGGGAGAGCATAGGTTGGGTAGATAGGGAGGATCTGGGAGGAGTTGGGGGAAGAAAAAAGCATCATCAGAAAAAAAAAATTAACATTTTTTCAAAAGAAAAAAAAATCAGGCATAGGACAGTGAGCTGGTACTCACATAATTCATAATTGAGGTGTCAGGCTGGCCCAAGTCCCTGGCCAAGAGGGAGCAAGCACCTCCAGGGAAATAAAAACTATACACTCTGTAGACCACAGCATCCTGTTATTACCAGAAGTTTCCTAAAAGAAAAAGGTTGACGATTTTCATGTTTGTAGCACTCCTCCAGTTTCCTTACTCAGTTCTGGGGTATCTGCCTGCAGGCAGTGCTGCTCCCCCTTCTCTCGACTCCGTCAATCAGATCATACCCCAGGAAAGCTTTGTTCTTTGGCCTCAGTGCAGCTTTGGGGGTCCGGCTCGCTTGTAACCCTTACACAAGGCATCTCTAAGTACTTCCGTTTTTCACAGTTTCATGGACAGCTTTTTTTGAGATTTTTATTATTTTATGAGTAAAGATGTTTTACCTGCATGTATGTCTGTGTGCTCTTTGTGTACAGTAGCTGTAGAAGTCAGAAAAGGGCACTGGATCCTCTGGAACTGGAGTTACAGACAGTTCTAAGCTATTATGCAGGTTCTGGTAATTGAACCTGGGTCCTCTGGAAGTGTAGCCAGTGCTCTTAACCACTGAGCCACTTCAGATCCTTCATAACTACTGTTTTGATAATTTTTTTTTCCAGAGCTGAGGACCGAACCCAGGGCCTTGCGCTTGCTAGGCAAGTGCTCTACCACTGAGCTAAATCCCCAACCCCCTGTTTTGATAATTATTACATTAAAAGTCAGGACCATTTATTGAAGCGGTTCATAGACTAACATAGTATAGAAATTTCCCCTTCTAGTGAAATCCCTTCAGACATAATTTACTACTTCCTTAAAGTTGGTTCCTTGGCATGAAGAAAAAACAAAATCATGAAGTGTCTTTTGCCAGGAAACATGGCACTAGAGACCACAATGTTGAAAGCAAACTAAGCCAGACTCGGGAAGGCAACATCTTATTTTCTCTCACATGTGGAATTTGGATTTTTTTTTTTTTTTTAGGCATAAAAGTAGAAGGGGAACTGTATTTGGAAAGGAAAGGGGACCAGCTGGAAATGGGGGGGCAAAAAATGTTAACATGCATATGATCAGAGTCCATTGTACATATATATGAACTGCCAGTGTCATAATGGAAAAATTATGGTTTATAATTAATATGGGCAACAAAAATGGCACCTGTTTCAATTGCTTATATATAGCTTCAACTATAGTTTGCTGGTTCCTTGATGCTGATTATAAAGTATGGGTTCCTCTGGGATACTGCCTTGTTTGCCTAAAGTAAATCTCGCTCATAGGATAGACATTGAGCTTACCAACTCAGCTCTTTAGTGCTTGTTTAGTAGATGTCTGAATCATAGGCAGAATTTGCCCTATGGCATGCCTTTATTATAACCTGCTAACGAGACTGTAAAGCACTGGTTACCACTCAGCTAACTCCTTAGAGTGGGCTGGCTTCCAACGGTTTCCATAGGTCCTGGGGGTGTGGGGTGGTGATCTAGGGTACCGCTGAGTTTGTTCTGTGGGACTGACAAAGAACTGTACACCCTGGAAAGAAGACCAACCTTGAGAAAAGTAGTGGGACAGATTCAACAAATATGACAGCAGCAGATGCGGGGTGGGAAAGTCAAAGTGACAGGGCAGGAGATGAAAGCCAGTCACTGAGGAAGCAGCAGCATGAGATGGGAGGAAAGGAAGGAGAGGAAGAAGGGTGGAGGGAGAGTGGGACAGAGGGAGGAAGGGTGAGAGAGGGAAGGGGGGGGCAAAAACTACAGCCTCTATTAGAACAGCTCCCAGGGAGATGGGTCGGCCAAACAGCTGGGAGTTTGCTGTGGGCTCTGGATCCTGGGCCCTAACTTTCCTGGCTCATTGCTGGGGTAGCCTCTCTTAGGCTGGGTCTTTTCTCCCCCAGTAGAATTTTCTTCTAGATGCTATTAGGAGTTGGCAATAGTCCAAGCCTGGAGCAAGCAGCAGGCCCTCTTAAAGGGGGTGAGTTTATCCCTGCTTTCCAGATCTGACTAAGTTCACCTGACCCTCCTTCACTAGGATTACAGGCTTGTACTGTGAAACTCCTGCACCTTATCTTTTGAGACATCCATCCATCCATCCACCCATCCATCCATCCATCCATCTATCCATGCATCCATCCATCCATGTATCCAAAAGAACTTGAGTGACTGAAGAGTTGAACATGACAAAGATTAGTTCAGTTCACAATAATTATTACATGATACAAATTTATATTTTTCAGTTTTATTTTAAATACTTCACATTAAGTGAAATATAACTATAACCATTACAGAGCATTACCACAATAATATACACAAAGAACTCTTAAAATAAAAAAAAAGAACACAATCTTCAACAAGTTAAATGCCACTTTACTATGTAAACAAAAATAAAATAAAACCCTGATGCTAAAAAGTACCTATTCAGAGGTAAAATACAGGTACAAAACATTTAAACATGAACCTTACTGACAACCAACCAACCACACTCTTTGCAACAGAGGACACCCACTGGTACTCCACATCTACAATGCTTCAGAATCCTGTTAAATGCACAGCCATCTCTGGTTCATGACACGGCACAATTCATAAGGCAAAGATATAGGCATTATCATCCAGTTCTTTAATTTCACATGTATATTAAGGCAAACTTGGAACTTTTTGCTTGGTATTTTAAAATAAGTGGGACTTTACACGATAACTTGACAAAATTAAATGTAGAAGACATGCGGATATATAATATGAAAGACATGGGTGACAATTTTTCTCTCTGCGAGATGTAAACTGGATTTTTATTTGACCATATTCACACTAGTAAGATTTGTAAACTTTTTCTATGCAAAATGTATTAAACTTATTTTCCAAATGTGAATATCAACACTGAATTCAGTACACTGGAAATGAAGAGCCAATAAATACCCAGCCACAGAATCATTATCTAATTAAATCTTGTCTAATTAAAGTGCTGTCTACAGTGGGAAAGAGAGGGTTGAGTAGCAGAAAGGATGTTAACTTGACCTGTCACAGAGCTTGTGTACTTTCTGCATAGAAAGTTTAGAGAGGTTATCACAACTGATTGAACTTGACTTCACTGTGGAGTTTGATTTTCCTAAAAATGAGCACTTTGGTGACAACACTAGGAATCCACCACCACAGCTGAAAACAAACACCAGGACCCAGCATGATACACACATGTATTTTCCTCATTGTTAGCCAGGGCCACGGTGTTCTAGAAAATGGGTTTGTGTCTTTCCTAGTTTTGTTTTTCCTTTAGAAAATATACCATCCAATTCCAGATGAGAAATCTCTGTTGTGAACTTACCAGGTGTCAGGACATACAGTAGCTATGCTTACTATGAACAATACAACAGGATTCCTAAAATACAGTGTATTTCTAAATTTTGAGTGCAATTTTTTCTGCTTTGTATGTTTCTGTACTTTGTTCACAGAAACATGATCCTACCGTTGCCCAAAATGTTTTGCATTTAGTTTTTAAGCAAGATAAAACTTAAGATTTAAAAAATAAAATAATAGTCAGTATACTTTTGATCTAACCTACCAAATGGCTATGTATTTTGTAGGAATTGCACACTGGGAGCAATATATGAGGAAAGCCCTGTTAAAACAGAATGATTAGAATAGATGTGTTTATGTTTAAAATAACTTTCTAGTCTTCCAAATTCACTTCACTTCTGGGAGGAAGAGATTAAAAGTAGCATAACAATATATTTAATAATTTGGCTGATATAAACAAAAACATTTATGCTTAGGATTTAAAAGTGTGTATCTGCTGGAATCTACTTTAAAATGCTTTTCTTTAAATACGGTTTAGGCCAACCACAATAGTGCACCTTATTCCTATTCAACAGATTTATTCAAACCAATGAAAAAGTTATTGCTATGTGTCACTATGATATTCAAATAAGCGACATAGAAAATACTTAGTTGATTTTATTAGCTTCTGTTGAGTTCTAGGTTAAAAGAGACTAAAAATTACTTGCAAGGCTTCATAATCTGTGCAAATATTTGTAAAGCATGGTATTACTCTATGACTAAAGATGATTTTACATAGTTTCATAGTATAGTCTCAAATCTACAACGGGTAGTTTATGGAAAAACAAGGAATTCTACAAATTGCTCGGCTATAGTTTTTGAGCAATAACATATATGCTAACAGGTAAAGCTAGTCTTTATAATTACAAATGGCTTCTTAACAATAGTTAGAATAGTATGGCACTTAAGAATGCAGGATGAGTTCTTTTTCTTAGGAAAAAATATTCACTGGTCTTGTAGAAGTTATAAAGAGAGAGAGAGAGTAGGTAGGTAAAAAAGAAAAAAAAAAGGAAACGAAAACAAAATTACTAAATTCGAAAATGCAAGTACCAACATAGTAATAAAATGCAAATTAATGTGTTAAGACTAACAGATATTTACTAAACCATGCTAGAATAAGTTAACTATTTTTTTAAAATAAGCTGTCAGTGGCTGTAACAGTTTTGTTGTGAAAGATTGTTTCTTTAATCAAAGCAGAACCAAATTTAGAACCATTTATTCAAGTAAACATCGAGTTCCAGTTTTCCTCAATAAATTAAAAATACTCAGTTACCTAAGAAATAAAAACAGTAATGCACACCTGCCTAGCATGTTGTATTTGGTGCATGTATTTCTGTATTGAAGGACAGGTAATATCTAGAACAAGAAAGAAAATTAAAAAAAAAAAGCATCATTCTTTAAGTCACCATTCAAAAACCATGGGAAGTATAACTCAAGCCATTCAGATGGTTTTGGATGTTAACATTAATGTAATCACTATTATTTTCCATAAGCACAAATGAAGTCAAGCCAATAAAAAATGAAAAAGACTATCATAGTACATCATGCATCTCACACTGACCACCCAAATAACATTGGTTACAGCTTTGTTACACATCCTGCAGTTAGCACCATTTTTATAATTGAACACTGAAAACAAAATCAGGACCGTAAAAGACTAAAATGAAGAATATGTGAAAACAACAGTATGCATCGAGGGTGGTACCAGACAGCTTCCAAATGTATTTACATCGACTGCGGGCGCCTGCTGTGTAGCGCTGGAGAACAGCTGCAACCACGCGATTTGCTCTCTATCCAGGCTCACCGAAGCACAGAGGAGGTCATCAGCCCACACAGAAAAAGCACAAACAATAAATATGCCCTGTCTTAAACAGGGCCCCAAATATGATAATAAAAGCCATTGTTTTGCAACTTTATCACACTATTAGCCCTAAAATCATTTAGCAGAAAGAGCCCTCAGATGACTGACATGGTATTTACAATCCTTAAAAGTACCCAAAGGAAAAGCAGCCCTTTTTAATAAAACCAATGCGAAGTGTATGAATTTACATCCAACAATCACTATCCACACTCTGTCCAGTCATTCAATACACTCCAGGGTCTGAAGCTTCTCTCTTCCTAGTAAATCAAAATACAGATTTAAAAAAAATGAGCTTAAATTATTGAAAACAAAATTAAAAAGCAGCAAGGTTTTCTCTACATTTAGGAATATAAAAACTAGTCTATCCCAGTCTTAGTGGAGAAAAGTGCACAATTTAATTGGTTAGGTCTTTCCTTTTTTTCCTTCCTTTCTTTTTTTTCTTAATTATTGATTCACTATATAATCAAGAGCAATTCAAACTATTTGTCTGTTCAAAGTACCCAACAAAGCTCTGAGTCTTCACGCCACTTCAAGTTACAGAGAAAGCAATGCAGTTTTCAGGACACTGGGCCTTCTTTCCGTGGCACCACCATGGGCGATTCCCACAAGTTCACACTTCTCAAAGTGCTGTTAATCCAAAATTGCAGCGACAGTATATCATGCCAGCTGAGTCCAGCCATGTATCTGAGATAGGGTCGTATTTCTGTACTGTGTTCAAATAGGAAGACCCTGAGTGACCACCGACTACATAAAGGTAATTATCAATTACTGCAGCACCAACTCCTAAGACAGGTGGGGAGAAAAGAACACACAGGTGAATTATGAAGCAGATTACGTCTCACTTAGAATAATTTATACTTTAATATATTTTCAAAATTCATTTCAGCAATCACTATAATTATACAAACATTATAGAAATATAGGCTTACTAGAGAAAACAAAAACAAAACAAAAACCTCAACAAAGCAGTCAGCTGCCTTCACCTCTGCTCTTCAATTCTATTCTCCCTCCCTACTACAGGAAAGTACTTTCAAAATATGCTTTTAGTTTTGACACACAGTAATTAGACTTGCTCACAGGTTACAGTGTGACATGTCAATGCATGCATAGAAAGTACAATGATCAGATCAAGATGACTGGCATTCTTTTCTTTTTTTTTCTTCTTCTTCTTTTTTTTTTTTTTTTTTTGAAGACAGGGTTTCTCTGTGTAACAGCTCTGGCTGTCCTGGAACTTGCTTTGTGGAGCAGGCTGGCCTTGAACTCAGGGAGATCTGCCAGCCTCTACCTCCTGAATGCTGAGATTAAAGGTATATGCTGGCATGCATTCTTAAAATACTAGGAAGAAAGCAATATATTTCTAATGTATATTTGCATGTCTTTCTATAAATTTGATCAGGTTTTCAAATACATTGTACTATATAACTTATGTCTTAAAAATCCTCTCTTAGATATTACCACCTATAGTAAAAATTCTAAAAATAGTAAGTCTACCCACATTTAAAACACTCTCACTGTTTTTATGGCTTTCCCTATTGAGTGTGCCGGAGAAACTATACTAAACACTTAAATGGTTCGTTGTATTTTAATTTCCCTTGAGTTCTTATGATTCTGGAATTTTTTTTTCAATCATAAAAATAAGAAAGCTCGCCAGGTGGTGGTGGCACATGCCTTTAATCCCAGCACTCGGGAGGCAGAGCCAGGATGATCTCTGTAAGTTCGAGGCCCTCCTGGGCTACAGAGTGAGATGCAGGAAAGGCGCAAAGCTACACAGAGAAGCCCTGTCTCGAAAAACGAAAGAACAACAACAACAAACTGCCCTTTAAACAATGTCATTTGAGTTTGGGCTCAAAAATAACAATTTCTCCTGTACCTAAGGATGTATTTTTTTCTTCTCTAGAAACCGTAAAATCGGATCCTTTTTTTGACTGAACTATCCTACTTGCAGAGGAAAGACTATTTGATAGTGAACACAAAGACAGTGGGTGACTAGAAAACAAATAGAAGAGCTGAGAGAAGGGGACAGGAGAGACAGCAGGCTAAATAAATAAATAAACCTTAAGTAAACCCACAGTATTTTTCGGCGTTCTCAACCATCTGAAGATATCATTAAGTATGTGGCTGTGGAGAGAGGTGGATGATATGGTAAAGCAAGGGAGGGAAACAGAAAGCCACAGACAGAGACCAGGTGGAATACAGAGACAGAACAGTAGATTTGTAAAAGAAAACCCTCCCACAGAGCACTAAGCAAACAGCACAGAGAGAAGAGAATCCTCCAGTGAGAGATGGAAGGACTTGGAGGGCTCCACACGTGCCCAAGGTGACTCTGAAAAAAGGAAGTTTATAATGCCATTTCTAGCTTGGCATGGAGGTGCACGCCTTTGATCCTAGCCCTCTGGAGGCAGGGCAGTGGCTCTCCCTGACTTCAAGGCCAGCTGTACTTCAGAGCAAGTTACAGGGCAGCAGCCAGAGTTACATGGTGAGAACCTGTCTCAAAAGAAGAAAAAGAAAAAAGCGTTTTTGTATTCTGTGTCCTGTGCAGCACACAGATGCCAGAGAGGCCCCTGTACTTTCCAGCTTGCTCACTGGTACTATATGTGACTTTGCCTTAGCAGAGGTCTCACACTCCGACTTGGGCAGGGGAAGCAGAACATCCTGCATTTCTACATCTTTAAACAACAAAGGCCTCACCGTCCCCCACTGCGAAGTGACCAAGAACTCATTGTAACTTGGACTGAGATTCGTGGGAAGAGATCTACTTGACTGTAGGGGGAAGCCACACCTGAGAGGCAAGCTGAGGGTGGACACTCAGCTAAGCAGCAGGAAGATGAGAGAAAAGGTGTATGGGTACAAGACAGGTGGCTAGAGTCAAGAATTGCAAAGCCCTGGCACACAAGATCAACCACAGCCTGTGATTTGGCTACTGCTACCAGGGATGGAATTGGCTTGACTGATTTGTATATTCTCAGAGGACCACAAAAAGTTGTGCAAGTCTCCCATGCTGAAACCACACAGGCAGAGTGCCTCTGAGAGGAGGCCTCATCCACGCAGGGTGTGTCCCCAGACTTACCTGGTGGAGCAGTCCGGAGGGTAGAGCCGGCACTTCCACATTAACAGGCTCACACACCAGACAAACTCTGTCTAATCTGTAGGGACTTTAGAGGGGAAAACTGACTTGCACACCAAATCTAGTAAACAACAAAAGGGGGTGTGTGTTGTATGTGTGATGTGTCGTGTGTATGTGTTTTGCATGTGTATGTATGTGAAATGTACGTATGCATGTGTCTGTGGGTGTATGTATATGTGTGGTATATGTGGTGTGTGTGGTATGTGTTATGTATGGTCTGTGGTGGTGTATGTGGCGTACATATATATATGTAGTGTATGTGGTGTGTGTGGTATGGTGTATGTGGTGTACGTATGGTGCATATGGTTTGTGTGTGGTATGTATAGTGTATGAGGTGTGTGGTATATATGTGTGTTTATGTGTGGTGTACGTGGTGTATATATGTGTGCTGTATGTGGTGTGCAGTATATGTGTGGTGTATGGTGTATGTGGTGTGTGGTATATATGTATGTGTGGTGTATGTATGTGTGCTGTATGTGGCGTGTGTGGTGCATGTGTGATGTATGGCATATGTGGTATATGTATGTGGTTTGTGTGTGGTATGTATGGTGTGTGTGGTGTGTGGTATATATATATATGTGGTGTGCAGTGTGTGAGTGCTTCTCTGAAAAAAGAGGTACTAACAGCTTCCCTCTTTCCCTCCCTCCCTTTCTTCTCTGTGTCTCTCTCCTCTCTCTTTTCTGGACTGCTGTCTCTATTTACTTTGCACTCTCTATTATTTTTTCTGTGTACATGTGCTGTATGCATATGTACAGATGAGACCAGATATCCATAGCAAAAAACAAAAACAAACAAACCCAAAAAAAACGCCACCAGTAGTGACCAAACTCTAGATGCCTAGGCCCCATAAACATCATGAATAATGAAGACAACATGTCTATAAATTAGCACCCCTAACTGTAATGTTCCCTGGAAAAAGAGACTTAATTGATGCACAAGACAATGATTTCAAAACAGAAATGATAAATATGTTTAAGGAACCCAAAGAGGATAGAAAGAGAAGAAAATCATAGTGAAGGCATAGAAAATATCTTCAGTACAAAAAGTCACAGAAGAAAATTTCCAACTTATGAAAGAAATGCCTATCCAGATAAAAGAGATCTATGGAACACTGAGTAGACAAGATCAGAAAATCAATTCTCCATGACATATTATAGACGACACTAGAAGGAATACTTCAATTTGACGACAGGACAAGCACACTCAAGAGGTCACAGGGAACAAATAACACCAGGACATGAAGTCCAAAGACAGCGGAGAAAACACCACATAACTACTGAATGACAGGAATTAATATACACCTTTTAATAATAACTCTAAATATTAATGGTCTCGATTCCCAAATAAAAATATATTGTTTGGCAAAAACAAAAAACCACATGTAGGTCAACGGGATAGAATAGAGGACCTAGAAATCAATCCTCACAGCTATAGCCGCCTTGACAACGGAGCCAAAAACATACATTGGAAAGCAGACAGCCTCTTTAACAGTGGTGCTGGGACAATCAGAAACCTGCATGTAGAAGAACAACACTAGCTGCCAGTCTCTCACCCTGTACGCAAATCCATTCAAAATAGACCAAAAGCCTTAATGTATGGTTTGAAATTTTGAAGCTGCAAGAAGAAAAATAAATAGAAAATGGCTCAAGTCAGAGAGGCATTAGATAATAACTCTCTGAATAGGACTGTAACAGTTCAACAAACAGTAAATGAAAAATAGGATTGGACAGCAAAGGGAACTACTACCAGAGTGAAATAGCAGCCTACAAGCGGAAGACAATCTAGGCTAGATATTTATCTAATAAGGAACTAATATTCAGAATACATAAATGACTCAAATTAAATAAAAATCCAAATACTTCAATTAATAAATGAGCAAACAAACTCAACAGAGAACTCTCAAAAGTACAAATCAGAAATACATGAAAAACTGTTCAACTGTCCTTAGCTATAAAGTAATGCAGACCAGAAGTGTCGTGAGATTCCACCTTACCCCAGTGAGAATGGCTAATATTCAAGCAAACACCACACGCTGGAGAGAACACATGGAAAAGGAACTGACAGACCATTGGTGAAAGTGTAAATCATTCGTCTATGACTGAAATCTGTATGGAATTCCCCACAATACCAAAAGCAGAACTACTATAGCATCCAGCTATCCCACTTCTTGGAACACACCCAAAGGAAAGAAAGTCAGCATGTAATAAAGATACCTGTAAACTTGAGCTTATTGTGGGGGGCAGATGGAGTCAGGAGAAATGGCGGGAAGATTACAGGTCAGTATGAGGCACAGCAGCATGAAATTAAAAGTGACTCTCCCTCAAAACAAGGTAGCAGAGAACCAACTCCTGTAAAATTTTTCTCTGACCTCCATATACATGTACCACACTGTGTCTGTCTCTGTATGTATTTCTCTCTCTCACACACACACATAGACACATAGACACAATTACACAAGATTTTTTTCTGATAAAATAACATCCTTACTGTTAAGGTACAAGATACTAGTATTATAAGAATATCACTCCATAAAGCACAGTCCTGTATTTTGAGTTTAATGAGTTAACAGCTCAAGATGTAGTTAAATTTTAGGATATTTACATGCACAAGCCTGGGTTTCAATCCCCAGTACCACGAAACGAACAAACAAAAGAATGAATAAATAAACAAATATTACCTGTCCTGGGCTCTTTCATTGGTCTGCACACTGTCCACTGATTTTGATGCGGGTCATATCTTTCAATGCTTGACAGATGTGAGACACCATTGTGCCCACCTACCACAAAAATAAAACCTAGCATAACTCCGACGCCAAAGTGAATCCTTTTATCGGCCATGGATGCAACCATCTCCCAGGAATCCTTACTTGGGTCATAGCGCTCCACACTGCAAGTATTTACATGAGGAAGAATTAATTCATAGGTCACTGTCACTCTTTCTGCCAAACCAAAACTCAAACCCACCACAGTTTTAAAAACTAAGTAAAAAAAACAGACATACAAATAATAGTAATTTGTCCCAAGTGCTTAGGTATCTGTAGATAAGATAGGTATAAAAGTTTACTTTGTGAACAGGATATAACAATAGCTGCATGTTATTCTTTCCTACAGTTAGATAGGATATCCACAAGGAATTGGTTGTAGGACAATTCCATGGATGCTCCCATCCCTCATACAAAATGGTATAGTATATATAAGCACAAAACTTTTTCATTAGATTGTTTACAATGAGTGAAACACCACTCCAAGAGATAAAATTCCTTAGAACATCAATTTTTAACAAAGGTTTAGAACTATGAGTCACAGTACATACAATCAGTATCTTGCAGACCTTACTTTTTCTTACCTGTATTTCTCCTTTATTCCAAGAATATACTACAGAAACAGAAGTCTCTCATCCTCACTCTAGTACTGTGCTGACATGTCTACTGTGACTATAGAACCCCAAAAGGAATATGAAATAAGGCTTGAGTTTTAAAAGCTGCTGCTTTAGAAAATATTATCCATACATAACTATGGGTGTGAATATACCACAAAAAGGAGAGAAGTACTTGAGAAATGGTGCTTTCCTCCATCAGGGGGTCCAAAGGCTGAACTCAGTTTGCCAGGCTGGTGCAGCAAGTGCATTGACCCACTGAGCAATCTTACTGGCCCGAGATTTTAATTGTATGATGTTTTACACTGTACTGTAATACATGAATTGTACTTCTTTATTCTATTAAGCATTGTAAGAAAAAAACACGCACACACATAGATACATACAAAATTATTGCATCATATAAAATTTTAAATCTGTCTAATTTGTTTTAGGTTTTCTGAGCTCTAAAATGTAGTTCACTAGTTGGACATAAACTTTAATAGGAGAGATATGAATCTCAGTGATAAAATACAATTACACTTAGGACAGTCTAAATTTCCAAATGCCTATCAATATTATTTAAGCATATTAAAAGTCCATTTATACACACAAATTATTTAAAATTCAAAAATGACTGTACATTGTGCTTCTGCAAAAACCTACAAACACAAGCAACTCGATTATTATGTTAAATACCTGTTCATGTGAGCGGGGCCATACCCTCCAATGGCGTAAATCATTCCATCCAGAACAGCTGCAGCAAAACAACTTCTTGTGGTTGTCATTGGGGCCACAGGTTGCCATTGTCTTATTTTGGGGATATATTTCTCTACAGATTGCAAGTAAGACTGTCCATCATATCCACCTAAAGCATAAAGTTCTCCAGCAAGGACTACTACTCCAAGGGTACTTCTGCTCTCGTTCATTCTCTCTAGAGAAGTCCAGGTATTTGTATCAGGGTCCCAACACTCCACTGAATTTTCATGTTTTCTCACGGTGACACCAGGACGCACGCTAGTTTCAATACCACCTATAACATAGACTTTTTGGTCTAAAACACATATCCCAAATTCATAGCGAGGAATATTTAGGGGCGCCAGACCAATCCAAGAGTCATTCTGGGGAAAGTACATCTCCACACTAATGAATAAGCAGAAAAATAATAGATTAAAAAACTCAAATGGCCCATCAACAAGAATGTGTACTTGCATTAGTAATCAAGGTTATGCAAATCAAACCCACAATAAATCATGATGTACCTTCCAGACTGTTGAAAGTGCAGGCAGAAAATAACTGGTAAGAGTGTTGTGCCAACATGGACACACTGCGGCTAAGAGTGTAAACTGGTACAAACTACTCTGGAAAACCATTTTATCTAACAAGTTTTATACCTTCACTTAGAATTTCATACTTAACGTGTCTCCTCGACTGAGTATCTCCTATAGTCAATTTCATAATAGGCAACATATCCAGAAATGCTCAATGGAGCTCAAGACCATAACTCATCAAAAAGAAAATGCTAAATAAGGTATAGTATGCATCTGTCCCATGACTAAGAAACCACCAGAGACCAGTCTCCTTTGGCTCCACAGGCTGAGCATACTGGGGTAGGTAGGATTCAGGCCCACAAGGCTTAAGGAAGCCTTAACTCGATGTACGGTTTTATGGATTCAGTCTGCTCAACACCTCACAGTATGTGGGGTCTTAATGCCTCTAGTTCTCCCATCTCCTTGATGTTCAGCACTTAAGTGGCAGGCTCCCAGAAGCTGTTCCATCTCTACCATAGATTTCTGCCTAGGCCTTCCATTGTTTCCTATGTCTTCTTAGGAATCTAAGTAGACAAGCCACAGCAAGTGTGTTCTGAATCTCTGGTGGGTCAAGCTGCAGCTGGAGTAGTCAGAGTGCTATGCTGAATGCTGTGCCCAGAGTCCTGAGATGGCTTTGTTTGCAGGTCCATGGAGGGGGCCCTGGGCCTATGCCTAAAACTGCTCCGCCCTCCTAGAGCTATGGCTCTGTGGTAAAAAGAGGATCCACAAAGACTATCAAAATGTTGTCAGTCTCTCTTCCTTTCCTGATGGTAGTTTCTGGCTTCCTTATATCCACGCTGGTCTCTTTAGTCTGTGGAATTCACATGGTCACAGCTTTGGTTTGCTCTTAAGCAAACCTTTTCAACTCTTGACATGCGACGGCTATGAAGGTCTCAACTTTCCCATTCTAATTCTATCTTTAGGTCATTTCTTTCCTCTCATTTCTTAAGTATATTTACTTAAAAAACTGCTGCTTAGACATTCTTTTGCCAGGTAACCTAGTTTGTCACTCATGTGCTGTATTATGTAAAATGAGGGATGTGTTCTCTGCAATTGTATAACAAGAGTGGCGTTTCCTCCAAGTTCCAAGTCCATGTTCTTCCTATCTGTCTAAGGTTACATCACAACAGCCTTTTACCAACTATACTTCTCCTAATATGCTGGCCATGTACTGTCACAGGTAATGTCTAGAAAGATTCAGACTGTTTCCTCTTCTTGAATTTAGAACTGTCTTTAATGTTCTGCTCATGAAAACCTAGAAAAATCTGCCAAATCTGAGCAACATGTATCCCTTACCCAGTTTCCGAACTGCTTCCACACTTCCAAGTATTTGTTACAGCAACAGGCCCGTCTCCTTGTACCAAGTTTCCTGTCAGTTTGTTTTCTGCCGTAACAGAAATTATTGATTGGGGATATTATAAACAACGGAAGATTATTTGGCTCATGGTATGTAATGCAGGCCCAAGATCAAGGGTCTGTCTCAGACAAGGGCATTTTTACTACATAATAATGTAGAAGAAGCTATTGGTAACACACAAAGAGGGATCAAAGGAGCCACACTCCTCTTTTAGAACAAATCCACTTCCATGATAATGGTCTTAATTCAGGCACACCCAGGATCTAACTACTTTTTGAAGGTTTCACCTTTTGGGGAATGTTGCATGGAGGATTTAGTTTCAACATATAAACTTTGGGAACACATTCAAACCATAACAGAGTACATGTACTAAAATAAGCTGGTATGAAAGAAACCAGAGTACCAGCAAACAAGATTTAGATATACCGAGGTAACTGGTGATGACAAAAGCTAGCAGCTGAAGCAGGAGCAGTACTGTGAGACCAAGCCCTTTGCCTGCGCAGTTTGGGCCAATTCAAGAGAGTTAATAGCCGGGCGGTGGTGGTGCACGCCTTTAATCCCAGCACTCGGGAGGCAGAGCCAGGCGGATCTCTGTGAGTTCAAGGCCAGCCTGGGCTACCAAGTGAGTTCCAGGAAAGGCGCAAAGCTACACAGAGAAACCCTGCCTCAAAAAGTCAAAAAAAAAAAAAAAAAAAAATCAAGAGAGTTAACATCAGAGACTGAACAGAACTGCTAAATACCCAGCGGGTGATATAAAATAAAATAATACGGTTGGTGTAAGGAAAAACAAACAAACAAACAAACAAACAAACAAACAAACCTCACAGTGGAAATGAAACCAGAAGTTCTAAAGGGGGATTATCTAGAATTCATGGATTTCTGCTGACCTAAATCATGTTCGGTAACTCATATAAGCAGATATGGCATAAAGGTATTCATCATAATGATTTTTTGGATTGTTGTTCTTTTGTTTTTAGTTAGAAGCAGTGTCTTACTATGTAGATTTGGTTGACTTAGAACTCCTTAGGTAAAGCAGAATGACCAAGCTCATGACTATACTCCTGGCCCTGTCTCCCAAATCCTGGGATTACAGGAGTGTGATACTATACTCATCCCCCAAAAAAGTCTTCTAAGGACAAATGGTGATCAGTTATATTGATACTTTCATGGGGTGAGTATAGATTGTGTTGCTACTTATCCATTGAAGATTTAAAATTTTCACAGTTACTTAAAGTAATCTCAGTACACTGTCATCCTTATGACTCCCTGTGTCTAAGGAGCAGATTGGTTCTTTTAGAAATTTCCTAAGCTACCTATCCAACCCACACTTTCTTCTCTAGCAGACCTTAAAGGATCTCCTGAGACCCTTTCTCTCATCTCTCTGTTCTACCTGTATTTCTCCAATTATTCAAATCCCTCTTTTCCACTACTGTCCTATTATTTCAAGACCTTGATCTACTAGTGACCATCCCTTGCCCCATGTCTTCAGCCTGCTCCCTCTTCATTTTGACATCTTCTTTCAAACATACTCAGATGTTTCTGTTCAAGAACAAAATATAACACAATCAAAAATCAAAATCATGAAGTGACCTTTATGAAAGGAGGGACAAAGAACCTCAAGCTATGTTGTCAGTGTCAAAGGTGACTTGTATACAGAACTAAATCGAGGGTTGGCAAGCTACACAGCCATGGGCTAAAATTCAGTCCATCCACTTTTACAAATAAAGTTTTATTAGAACCCATCCATGTCTAATCATTTACATACTGTCTACGGTTGCTCTCATCCCACAACAGTGGAAGTAAAGTAGATGTAACAAAGACAAGAGGGCCTACCAGTCTGAAATATCTCCTATTTGCTCTTCACAGAAGCAGACTGAAAGTCCCTGCTGTAAAATATTAGGAAAATAAAAAGAACTCTTTATAATCATAAAAAACACAATGAAAAAAAAATTCACACCCAAGTTATTATTTATGGTAGTTTCTTATTTTCTTATTTCACTGATGTTCTCCTAATTAACTATTTTCATTCAAAGCTCCTCATGTCCTCAGTCTGCCCTCATCACAGGTTCCTAGCTCTCTTCTTTAGCACACTGTCAGAAAGAAGAGGAGGAGGAGAGGGTGATGAGCAAGAAAAGGAAAGAGGGAAGGAAGAGGAGGAGAAAGAAGTAGAAACAATGAAACATTAGAAAAATTAGTATATAACCAGGATAGAGAAATGTACACACTTGGGGTGAGGAAAAGACTAATAATTGAGTATAACAGAGAATGTATGGAAATATGATTAAAATACCCTCATAAATATTTTAGGAAATAAAAAGGAGAGAAAGAACACCAAAACAGCAAATAAAGGAAAATAAAATTATTTTTTAAATACAGAAAATTAGCACATTTAAAAAGCACACTATCTGTTAGTATTACTCCTTTAAAAACCCCATTTATTTACCTATCCAAACAGGCAAAGAGTCCAGATTTTCCTCCTACCGCACACAACACTTTGGGAGCACAGCGAGGTCGCGTCATCAAGACTGTCTGATGAGAGAGTCTATGTTCAGGCATGAAGTGGTACTTTAGGGCTTCATTCAACAGATGTTTACACGTACGATCATCACGGATAAGGTGATTTGCTTCATAGAGCCTAGTGAGGAACTTAACACTCAGCAATGGTAATCGCACGCTGTTCAGCAGTTGTGCTAAGTATTTCTGGCGTTCTTGCACATCATACTTGATCCAAGACTCTAATGCATAAAAAACTGTCTCTTCAGTAGCGACATTCAAGCAGTCATTGGAGACAATCTCATCCAAATCAGCATACGTAAGCTCAAAAAACTCTTCCGTCTGGCAAACAGATTCAAAATTCTGGCATATGTATTTAGTAGCCGCCAAATAAAGGTCATGACAGCCATATGTCTCTGCAAAACGGGAAATTCCAATACAGTTCCCAGGGTCAAGTTGGCTCTCAAGAAATGCACAGCATTCTTTCAGGACAAGTTTTATCTGCAGTAGGTTTGCTGCGGGCAGGAGAGACTCCACTGTGTCCTGAGAAATGAAGACTGTCCCAGTATAGGCATACTCCACAATGGCCTGCAGTGCAGCTTCATCAATGCTCTGAAACTCAACCTCATTGTTCTCCTTCTCAGAAAGGTTTCCAGTGAACATAGCTTTGAAGTACGGGCTGATGCTGGCAAGTACCACTTTATGAGCATGGATTTTAACATCACCTACTCGAAGAATGATGTCACAGAGTTCGTGATGCTGACGAAGGAGATTCAAGCCCTGCAGAAGTTGTTCTGAGTGTAAGTGGGTTAAGTTAGCAAGCATGTAGGTCGGGGATGTGTGGTCCATCTACAGAAAATAAAAGATACAGTTGTTTGAAAATAGCCATGTCAATGTGAGTCTGTTCTAAAGAGCACATGTCAAACTTGTTTATTTGCCACTTTGCTAGGTTTTAAACAGTGAACATTAAAACAGAGGCTTTTAGAGATGGAAAGACTTTAACTATCATTTAATGCAACTCCTTTGTTATAGGCAGTAGAGAACCAACATGTTGTATGATAACCCTCAAATAAGGACTTTTACATGCAAACTGTTTCATTGAGTATTTTCATTAAAGACTCAGCTATCACTACAATAAAATACAAATATATGGAGAAAAAGTTGCTTATAGTCAAATTAGTTTTGAAACAATAGCTATTTTCTATTTGCTCAATAATAACATCAACAATACCAATTGACAGTGACTTTGTAAAGCATAAAGTTCCATATAAGGATATATAGCACATATAGTTCCAGATAGCACATAAGGTTCACTTTATTAAAATGTCTCTTCCTATGACCTCCATGCTCACTAATTTATATTCTTTCCCACAATAGCCTTTCACTCCAATACAACTCATATAATTATTAATGTTACAGCTCTCTATAAAATGTATTATCTCAGAACTGGAGAGTTTATTATTATAAATAATAAATAAATCTTTTAAAAAAATGTACAATCTCCCAAATATTTTCTTAGTAAGTGCTAAGTATTGTCTATAACCTTTCCTTTTTCACCCCCCTTTCCTCAATACAAATTTTCAAAAGTCTAGGTTAATATTAACTTTCTCTAAAAGTCTATTCCTTTACATGCAATTAACTATGTATGTGTAGATTTGTAACCGCCCCCCCCCCCCCCACACACACACAAATTGTCATTTGTCTGACTTAACACGAAGGATCATATTCAGGCTGAACAGTGAACAATGAAAATGGAAGACAGAAAGGTTAAAAAGGAAGAGCTAGATACTTTATAAGAACATATTTCTCCCAGACTAAAGATAGTAACACAGACCTACAAATGAGCTTCTGAATGAATACCAGAGATACAGGCCTGGACACTAATTTCAAAAGCAAGACTAAATTTTATAAACAGTCTGAGAAGATTCATCTTAACTCCAGATAACACTCTAACATTAGTAATGATGTGATTTATGATCACCTTAAAGGGATTAAGTCTAGTCTAAATGAGCTAACAATAGTAAGGCACATCAGAGACTTTGTTTCTTCTCACAATGAGCTTAGAGTTTTCTATCAAAAAGTGTATTTTCGTGTTTAGAGACTAGTAAAGAACTTTATAATGTCTCTCAAGATTTTTAAAAAACAAATCTAAAATTATAATTTAGTCCAGGTAGGTAAATAAGCAAATGTGCAGTGCATACTTCTAAAAGAATGGGGACTGGAGGATGACCCTAGTGGTCTACTGTAGAATCAAGATAGGGACTGGAGGATGATCCTAGTGGTCTACTTTAGAATCAAGATGGGGACTGGAGGATGATCCTAGTGGTCTACTGTAGAATCAAGATGGGGACTGGAGGATGATCCTAGTCATGTGCTGTAAAATCAAGATGGGGACTGGAGGATGATCCTAGTGGTCTACTGTAGAATCAAGATGGGGACTGGAGGATGGTCCTAGTGGTCTACTGTAGAATCAAGATGGGGACTGGAGGATGATCCTAGTGGTCTACTGTAGAGTAAGTCAGACTGGAGGATGATCCTAGTGGTCTACTGTAGAATCAAGATGACCATACTCTGGCACTGCCCTTTCCCTTTGTGGGTTTTTTTTTTTTTTTTTTTTTTTTTGGTTTTTTGAGACAGGGTTTCTCTGTGCAGCTTTGCACCTTTCCTAGAACTCACTCTATAGCCCAGGCTGGCCTCGAACTCACAGAGATCTGCCTGGCTCTGCCTCCAGAGTGCTGGGATTAAAGGCGTGCACAACCACCTCCCCCCCTCCCCAGGCTCGGCCCTTTCCCTTTGTAGTGATCATGACGTGACCATGCAGGGCAGCAAAAACACTGGACAACAAGTTAAGGATACCAAAAGACCTTACACTTAACATAATTTTAATAGGGATAAAATATAAACATTCCAAAACATTGGCACAAGCATAAAGGAGAGAATGAACTAATCTGAGGGATATTTTAAGGGTTTAGGGATTTTAATTTCAGTACCACTTTAATACCCTAGTCTAATGTGGGTTTAAGCTTTATTAATAGAACTGTAATGCACAGAACGTCAGAGAGGAGACTCTCCCTTAGTTCTGGAAATGTCAGTTCGCATCAGGTGCACAGACTTTAGGCATCATCCTAGAGGGAACTGAAACAAACCATGATACCCAGTGAAGAGAAGAATTCAGATCATGTCAAATGAGCAATAGAACTGCGGGTACTGAGTCTAGAGAAAAGGAAAACTCAGGGTTATGTGGCAGGCAGGCCAAGGGGTAAATGCTGCTCAATTATAGTAAGTGTTGATTTGAGGAGTAAATGAATTTACACATATGAAATGCTTACAATAGTGACCATCAGTAAGGTCTTAACAATTTTGTCAACTTTGTATTCATGAATTTTTTAGTTGTTTACCTGAGTGGCATTTAGCTTTCTATGTTGTACTAACTCTTAGTATTAGGTAAGCAATTCATTCTGGAGTCTATGGTACATGTGGTATAAAGTATAACACAATATAACTTGTAAAGAACACATGTACACACAATACATAAGCACACACATGATACATATTACACAGATCTAGACAGGCACAACAATATAATTTTAAGAGACTTAGCTCTGAATCAGACTGCTGTGGCTATGATATTGTCTAAATTGTTTAATGACCTGTGAAGGTCATCTTGAAGTCTCAGTTTTCTCATGTGCACAGCATAACAAAACAGGATTAAAAAGGGGGCAATGTCTTCCTGTTGCTGGCATGTAAGTACCCAATAATTATTAGATGTTACTTGTTATCTGTATCAATATCAGCCTTAAGAAGACTTGAGTTTTACCACCTAAAAAGTGACTCTCTTCTGTTTACCAAAAAAGGAAGGAAACTTGCTTACTATCAACTGAACAAAGAGAACTAAGGCAAGGCCAATGCCTAACTAATTCTATCAGTAAAGATACAGTGAGCCACTTTACGGTTTGGATAATGAATTAGATTTAGATAGTTGACTTCTGAAGACAGCAGAAAAGTAGCAGGAGAAAGACAGCGCTACAGTAAACTGCCTAGATCCTCGACCCACACAGAGAAAAGATCAGTGCCAGGCAAAAGAGCCTGGCTGCCTGACTTCCTATTAGTTCTTAAGGATCCCAGCCTATACTATGTGACACCAAGCAGTTTTAATTCTGAGGCTCCATTCTAAAAGGGTGTGTGGTAACCCCTCACTCCTGGACATCATCATAACTAGGAACATGGGAGAAATTATCTCATGACACACTTAGAGGACAGATGGAAAGGTTAGTGAGTGATGCCCCACATAAGCTCCTAAAAGCCCTCTTCTTCTCCACTGTTCCTGGTTGATGCAGGGTCAGTAAGGTGGTATGGCAAACCTGCTTCCACACACTTTTATCCTTAGAGTACCTCATCTTATTTTAACCAATGTGTGAACTATTCATTTCAAACAGTTTATTTCACAGCAGGTTAAAAATAAAAACTATCAAAAACTAAAAATAGATTGAAGAAAGGTCTTTGGTAGAGAACACTTGTGCACACTCTTTCCACCATATTGACCAGCAGGTGAAAACACTTTGCTATTCAGGCCTCATGGCTGAGTTTGAATTGATTCCCCAAACTCACAGTTCTCTGACCTCTATCCACGTGAATGACACATTTGTTCTCTCTTTCACACATACAAACAATAAATAAAAACTAAAAAGTTTTAAATTAACAACAACTATTGGGACTTAAATTTACATAAATAAATCATATTTTTAATGCTCAATTAAATAATTATAAATAAAACTTTAAAAGGGAAAGGTAAAAATATAGGAACTTAAAGTTAATGACATCAGGTTTACCATATCCCATTATTAAAAATTCTAATTTGACCTCTTTCCTTTCTGAAGAAATACGTCTTAAAAATTTACAGAAGCTATTCAAATATAGGGCTTAAAATATGGTCTTTGCACCAAACTATCAGTATCACTTGGGAACCAGCTGGAAAGGAACACTCCTGTGCCCCATCATGGACAGAGACAGTGAGGAAACACAGAGGGGAGGGGAGGCTAGACAGCCTGCTTTCAGCTCTCTCGGTGATTCTCACGCTTGCAAACACTGAGAATCAGGTCAACTATTTCTAGCCGAAAGACTGCAAATTTTACTTGTAACTGATTCAATATTCGTAACTTTTATTAGATTTGGTTCTCAGCTATTTATCCATAAATGACTAAAAGTAACTCCAAGGAAAAATAATTTCAGATCTTCAAACCCCATGCTATCAAATAATTTTATTATGTTTCATTTATTATTATCTCATAACACCCTTATGGAGAAGGAAGGGCAAGTACCACTGAAAACAGGAAAGAACAGTGAACAATATGAACCAGAACCAGGCAAATCTGAGCTAAGTCCACATTTGGCTACCTAACAGCTCTATGACCTTCGGCATATGTTAATTTAATATATCAATACATAAAATAAGTGATATCAAAGGTGATACTGGTGGTTCACATCTGCAATCCAAGCACTTAGGTGGCTGAGGCAGGAGGATTTATGATGAGTTCCACACCAGTCTAGGATACAGGGCAAGATCCTGTTTTAAACAAATCTAAAAAGTAAGCCTACAAAAAACAAATGATAAATTTACACATATGTAAATGCCCAGAACACATAAACATTGTATCAGGGCACTAAAACAAACCAAAGAGGAATCCAGATAGTAACAACTCCCTTCTGTCGATGTATATTAGTAGATTTGATATACTGAATTGCTTCTATATGCTAGCCATATTTTTTGCTTTAACCTTTGTTAAAGCAAATACTTAAGAGTACTAAGTATCTGTGAACTGAATTAGTCAATACTGAACAAACAGTACCAA